TTTTTTTTTTTTTCGTACTGTTATACGGAAATTGTCAGTGGATCTCCATCTGGTTATTATTTTTCTGAATCAGATGCGCATAAATGTGAATTGGATGCTTTCTGCAATTATGGGTTTTATTTATTTGTTTATTTAATTATTATTCTTTTCCTGGCTGGTCAGTGGTCACCAAAGTTGCATGCGACGGCCAATTCAAAGAGGAAGAAAACGTCCCCCTCAGACACCAACTATAAAGGACTCTCTCTCTCTCTCAATGGAGCTTCCCCAGAAAATTCACCTCATTGGTCTTTGGAGAGTCATAGGCACATATTCTGTGTTAACCTCTACTTAATATTAACTTTAATTACATCAACACAATCGTTCTAGATATGTTTAGCTGGTCAATTTCTCATGCATGCAAACGTAGAGATAGAAATCTGTATAACTGTGCATACATACATGCACACATACATGGAATAGAATTGTCATAAGCAACATTCTTTGACCATATGAGGGACAATTGGGAAGCAAATGTGTTGGAAGGTAGGATGTCTTTTCATCACCTCTTAAAATATATACTAATAGAGTAATAGCTAACCCCATCCACCACCAGCCATCTAAATCAACAAATCATATATTGGGAAAGAAGGATATATATATATATATGTTTTTCCTCTTGGGCTGCCTTTGTTTCTCCATAAAACAGATGGAATTTTCAGACTGAAATATATCATCCATTATTTTACAGAAGAATCTTTGATTTCCACCCTTTAATTTGTTTTCTTATATATACAAAGACAAGGGAAAATAAAGCTTTAATTGTAAAATATAATTAAGAGAGGCTAAAATAATTAAACCTCTCAAAATATTCAAGAATGAAAACTGAAAATTTCCATCAATAAACAAATTATTGTATGGTGGGGGTGTCATGTCACCTTTGAAAAATGTCCTAACGACCTGGCCCTTCAAGTCTTAACATCACCCTCTTTTCTGAGAAGAAGGATACATAACAAGATACAAGTAATCTTGAAAGAAAAAAAAAAATGGATAGCGACGCATTTATCTTGTTGAGTTGTATGGCATAGCTTAGAGTAGACACTCTGTCATATGGGTTCCACTCTTACTATAGCCATACCTTACATGACTTACCAACTAAGCAGAAGAAAAAAAAAATTCAGAAATTTGACTAACATCCTTATCCACTACAATGGAACAGACAGGAGGAATCCTTACGAACATCCCTTGATTAATTTATTAACTACTTGTTAGTTAGAATTGAATATTTGAGATTAGAATTGCTTGAAATCTGTTAATTAACCAGCAGAAGAACTGGACCAATCGATGGGTAATTATTTTGAAACATGTATGCCCATAGTTTCACCTCTGAAAATGCATAATTTCACAAGGAAAATGATGACTTTATTAGGACTAGGAGGAGTCTCCAGGCTAGAAAACTAAAATCAAATTTGTTGAAATGATGATCAGAGTGGAAAAATATTGTTGATACAGATTTCAACAAAATCAATAAATGCATCAACTGTGTTTCCATAGATACATGCATTTCATATGGCATGGCATGCTAGGATTGAACATATTACTTTGTTCATAACGAGTCTGCCCAGTTTAGTTGAAATTAATATACTCTTCTTTGGCTTTTTGCATGGACCATCTGACAGGCGGCGGCTTCTCCTTGCCCTCTCTGACCAGTAAATGGATTACAACTTTTCATTGGTTTTTGTTAATCTTTTGATCAACTTTGTGACTAAATGACCTCTGTAATTAATTTTTCTTCAGTTAGAGAGAGAGAGAGAGATTGAAGTATATGGCCACCAAGAAGTGATGATATGGTGAGAACTGAAACATGATTCAACAATCAGAATTTAAGGTCTCAAGGGGTATGCTTGAACAGCTAACTGATTTAGTGACAAAGCAGTTCTTTGATTTTGTTTTTGTTTTTGTTTTTGTTTTTGTTTTTGTTTTTTTTTGTGTGTGTGGGGTGGTCGAGTTGCCTCTTGTGTGACGACAAAAAAGAGTGGTAGCTTTAATTAAAGAAATGTTGCCCTAACAAATGTGGCATGAAGTCAAGGTCTAGTGAACTCCCACGTAAGCTTTACTACCTCGTCCTTTACTTCCTTGAACTTTCTTCCTTTCCAAAGATTCTCCCATTATTGCCCCCCCCCCCCCCATTAAAACATTAATTAATTATTGGGTATGAAAAAAAAAAATATATTTTCAAGCATCACAAATTCAGTTTATACAATTATTGATCATGTTTGAGGCTCTCAAAGCATAGCAAATGGTAATTGACTTCCTGGTCGTGAGAGTGCTATTCACCTATCCTAATCAAGTCTGAACCCTTTGGACAGTTTAAAGCAAGAGTTAGGGTTTAGGGTTTCTCTATTTGGGTGGGATAATATATAAGAATTAAGAAAGCTCTTTTAGACCTTGTTAAGCAAATTAAAGGATGCCTGGCTACCAAAACCAGCAGGGAATTTGTTCCCTTAAATACCCAAAAATTGAAATTGAGAGATCTGCATGGGTTTCTGTGGCTTACCTTCTAGCTCATCGATATTCTTTTTGATCAATGAAATGCATTAATAGATTTCAAACATAGGGATCGAAAGAGCTTAATTATGATACAAATAAGCCTAATTGGATGGTTAAATTGATAGATTTGATTCTTTTCTGGCTTGTGACTTTGTGAATTTCTTAATTATTAACTGCTCCTCGGCAACCAGTAGGAAATAGATTCTCAAAAGAAGTTTAGTTCATCAGTCATGACATCACTAGATTTGACTCTCAAGAACCGAGAGGAGCCTCATTGGACCAACAACAGCTCGGTGCGCAAGAGAGAGAAGTAAAAAAGCCCCAGTTGCTTTATCCGACCACCGTATCAACAGACCAGGACCCAATTTGCATCTTTAGAAAATAAGAGAAAAGGTTTGTAGAAAAGTTGTTCACAAGTTCATAAAAAAAAAAAAAAGTCTATTACGTAAGCATCTATGGAATAATCAAAATTTATTAAAAACAATCCAATTAAAACATGACTTCCATGAGCCCCTCAGTACCTTTACAAAGGTAATTAGTTACCCACCTTAAAAGTCAATATTGACAGAACTCTGGTTATAATAATGGAGGTTGTCTTAGATGTGGAGCCATTAGCCATAGCACCGTTGATGGGCCTTAGCCCATAACTAGCTATCAGGATCTACTATTAAATGGGTCCCACCTAAGAGATGGCAAATGTCCATGATAGATGAATCCTAGCTAAAATGATCATTGATTTTCATACACCCTTCAAATAAATAAACAGTTCAAACTTCAAAGTCAATGTATGTATACAAAAAAAAATGGTATGTATACAATAATCCTCTTCTAAATATCTAACCTAACGATACAATCACTCAACCTCCAGAAATCAATAATTATCGTTCTAATTAAGATGTATTAACTATAATAATATGAAATTTTTTGTTAAAAAAAAAAGAAAAAAAACGTATTATTAATAATCAAAATAGAAAGCCCACTTTACTATCCTTTAAAATTAAGAAAAAAACCATTTATTAACTTATTCATATAGAATAAATCCAATCTGATTATGTAAACAAATTATCGGATTGGATGTCAGATCGGGTGGTGAGTCATGACAGCCCTAATATTCATGTAAGGCTTAATTTAGAAAGAGTATATATATATATAATGCAGATATGAGGTTTAAAATACAAAATATAAGGTTTTGCATTGTACGTATTTATATTTATATTCTTCTCAAATTAAACCAAATCAAAGGGAAAGAAAACTTTTCAGGACATTGACTTATGCTGTTTGCGCAGCAAATTGTAGTTATCAAGTACATAAAAGAAAAAGGCCCAATCTCAATAATGGTAGCATAAAGCTGGGTGCCAGCATTCCGCATTATACTTTCATATGGACCAACTTCTAGGGTTTCTCTTAGGCTGTGTGAAAAAAAAAAAAAAAAGGATTTTTAGCCATATTTATTTTTTCCCTCAGTTCAGTGTATAATAGAATGGCTTTAGCACTTCTGCCACAACAATCCAAACACACCCCTACTAATTATGCTACAAAATTTGATAGGACCCAAATCTGACCCGAAACCCCTATATCCAATCAAATTTCGTTTTTAAGTCTTCAAAATTTGACCGGATTTGGATGTGGTTAGATCTGATCCAAATCCCACCCGCCTATTAATTACAGCCCTAATGAATATGCATCAAACACTTGCCTTCCTATAAGGGGCAGTTTTGAGGGGTTTTTTTTTTAATCTTTTTGGTTTTGGAAATCCTGTTGATATTTGATAAAGTAGCAACAGATGTTAAGCTTTTCCATCATTTTCATGACACATACAATGTATGAAACAAGGTCGCAGAACATTCCATAGTGAGATCCCACTATCCCACTTGGGTATATCCGGCCGTACGTAGACAAGATTTTAGAAATAACCAAAAAAAAATGTTAAATAGAGTTGAGTTGGTCATGGGTCGTGGCATCATTTTTTTCTAACACTTTCTTTTGTCCAGAACCTTTTTGAAAGCTGATTTCAAATTAGCTATAGTAATAGAACCCAGATTTCTTACTCAATTTTCTTATCCACTCTTTATCTATCGTGAATTGCAAGCACACATCTCTATTAAGAAAAATGAGTAAGAAATCCCGTTTGATAGTAATAGACCAACAACGTAATGGGTCATCTACTCCGAGGTGTGAACTGAAAACTACTCTACCAATTACCTATCATACCCAGGCAACGTTGGATCCTAAAATCAACTTAGATCGATCGAACATTTGATAATTCTTACCCCCAAGTGGTGCTCAAGAAATAATGGTTAATATATACATAGATCGGATCGGCAAAGCTTTTCAAATGTTATTATTATAAAGCCGATTTTCAGAATAGGCAAAGCATCCAAAGATGAGTTCCTATTTATCATATCTACCAAATTACAGCCTACAAATCAAAGCAATGCACGGTTTAAACTGTCTAATGGAATGCAACTCCAGACCATTTTTTAAATGAAAAGATATGTGGTCCTTTCTCTTTGTTACTTCAACGTTGCCCGTGGGATAGTTGGAATGGTGGATGGTCATTCTTCATGTTAAAAACATGTCCCAACAACTTATTAAGTACGATTACTTTTTCATGTATAAAAATTAATGTAAATAATACAGGTTTGTCGATCTGTGGCTTGATTGTCCATGGGTACGGTTCATAGGAATAGCCACCAAATAATACAGGTTTATCATGTACGATTACTTATGTACAGCTCATAGCCCTCCAACAGGAGTTTGATTTTAAGATAGACAGTCACTTTCTACAATGATGTTACTTCAACCAAGTTATCTGTCAAAAAATAATGTTTTCCAACTGTTGTTATACAGACGATTAGACCTTTTGGACTGAAAATTGTTTACGTATTTGGTTCTCTTTTACCAAAAACTGTTGAATTGGTTAACGATCCATTAACCTTGGCAGTTGAATTATCAATTCATTCGATCTGTTCAACAGTTTTTGATTATTTTTTATTTTTTCAATTTTTTAAATTTTTTTTGTTGGAATGGACCATCCATTCAAGCCAGACGGTTAAACCATCGATCCAAAAACCAATGGCCAGAAGAACCTGAGTCAGTTTTTAAAACCTTGGTAAAAAATGAAGCTCTAAAAAAATACTGATTGGGCATTTGGGCTTCAATTTCTCAACACAAAGACACCCCGCCCACTTTGATTGCACAAGCAAAAACAAAGTCCCATTTCCAATTCCTAATGACGATGCCAATGCCTGAATAATATTAATATGGAATGGAGCCGTTGCAATGCACTTACCCCGTCCACATTGAATTTTAGAAAGTAATGGAGTAGTTGGAAATATTCATGAACATTTTACACTGCTTTGGGCTTAGGTTTTGGGCCAGGCCCATCTAAGTTTTGGCAAAAGCTCAACCACCCAAGCCCGAGGAGAAATCAGTTACTCCGCGCTGGGCTAAAATCGTGAAATTACGGCCTTTGATTCATTTCTGTGGGCCATCATCAATACATCAAGGGCCATCATTTACGGTTTTCGCCCAAGTGGAGTAAGCTGATTTTTGAGCGGCCCATCAACAGGTATAGAACTAGTAGGAAGCAATGAGAGAATTGAGATCTGCTCCTCACAGAGGGCGCCTCACACCGACCTCACAGGTACATATGCATCGGGAACATCTCCCGTGAATAAACAGAAATACAGAATGATGGCGGAACGCAGATTGAATGTTAGCCCCGGTGTCTGATCCTGGCCCAGTCCAGCCCATATCCATTTTCCTTAATTCCTAAGGGAATAGCCCAGCCCAACCCAACAATCAGCCAATTCAAAAAATAAAAAACAGAAAACTCTCCTGCCAAGCGAAAACATTTTAAAAGCTCCCGCGCGTTGTTGCCTTTTAGGCTGATGGGCTCTTTCTCTTCCGTAACTACTAACTAACTACCACAAGCAGAGGAAAATATCTCCATCTCTAAGTTCTAACCAACTAAATTGAACTCTCTGGATTTAATTTACAGATAGAACGCAGTTTCATTTGAATTCCTTTTGGATCTAGACTTGAGTCAAGGGCTTTGCCGTTGAAATGGTATTCCGATGCTCTGTAGAGCTAATTATCTGTTTGTTTGATTGAAATCTGCAGAGTAGAATGAATTGGAGGAAATAGGATGATCTTCTCCAATATTGAAACCTGTTTCAGTCTTTCTATTTCTTTGGTTTTCTTTTTCTTCTGCTTATGATCGGGTACTGTAAGTTTGTCCAAAAGTAGATTCAATCTGTAGAAGAAACGTAACGTTACTATTCCCGGCTTTTCTCAATTTCTCTAATGAATTATGTTGGCCGCCCCATAAATTGAGAACCGGTCCGGAGCTCCTCGTTTAGTCCACCCTTTCGAATGATCGGCATATTTGATGAGGAAATCTAATTACTCCTTTTCCTTTTCTCTCTTTGTTTACTGCAATGTCCACGAAAAGGGAGCTATCTTCGGAAGAGAAGCGAGAGCAGATCCTTAAAATCTTTTACGAGTCCCAAGACTTTTTCACTGTGAGTAAGCCATAAATTTGTCTTGAATTCTTAGTTTTCAAGAAGTTCAAATCTTTTTATTTATTTCAATCTGGTCATGTATTAGAGATATTATAATTTCCTTACCGCCCCCAGCATCTCTGTAAATGGTATGCGTCCTAAAATCACATTGCACCTGGAAGACTGTTCTTAACTTGCAAGCTTTAAAGAGCCCAGGCTGTTTTGCAAACAGCCACGCTACACTCGCCTTCTAAATCTCCACCGCTCTGCATAGACGTGAATGCATCATATCGAAAATGCTGCTGTGGGACCCCTCTATTCGCCCCACGACGTTGCTTTTCTTCGCGTGGTCAGATTGTTTCTCTCTCTGTAGCAGCAGCAGCTTCTGACTTCTACAGTTCAAACTAAGGTTGCTTGACTTCTTGAGATGGAAACCGGAAAGCAGCTGTTCTTCATATCATTTAGATGATTCCTAGTTTCATGGAAGATGAGGATACCAAGTTATGTTTCTCTACTGGTGGATCCGAAAGGTAGATCGTGTCCCCGCGGTCTCCTTACAGCTACTTTGATTTGTGTAGCCCTTCTTGATTGGGAGTGCATTCACGGCCAGAGACTCCAAAGATAAATTCTCAAGATGGGGAGTGCACAGAAGGATTTACAAGTTAAAAGGAAGTGGGAAGAGGTGTGATGACAGTAGTACAGCTCCTCCATGCATAGGGTGGGTAGAAATGATGGCACCAGTTTTCTCAAGGGCAGCCTGGCGTTGTGCATGGTATATGGTCCAGAATGACTTAATCCATGATATGCAACTTGGTTACTGTGCTCAGAGTGACCGAACCAAAAATGTTGGGGTGGTACCGTGGTGGACTCAGAGTACATAGTTCGTTTGGATCTCCCTACACTAGGGGTTGTAGACAACAACAAGGCACCACTTGAATCTCATGATCATCGGTTAGAAGACAGCCCTACACTGAATTGGAAATCTTCAGAAGTAGATAGGAAAAAGCAGTAGAGGATGACAAATGTTGGATTGGTCCATTTCAAAAACCAGCAAAACAGGGCAGCCGTTAAAGTGTATGTAAAAGCTCTTTCTTACCTTCCAGACTGACTGTTAGTATAACTCATGAGCATGTTGTTGCTGGTCCACACCCAACTAAATGGATCCATAAGATGGCTAGAATGATTCCGTTGCAGCCAACTGGATTATTTGTCTTCCGTTTCAAAAACAGATTATGTGGATTATTTGTATGCAAATATGTAAATGCTAACTGGGATTTGTCTTCCCTGGATGCCGATGTAGATTCTCATGTTTTATTGTAATATAATACTTTTAATTCTAATCAGATGAACTATAAATGTGTTATTATCATGATGAACTGGGACTTGATAACCTTTTCTTAAGGGGCAACTTGGAATGTCAACAGTATAGTATATGCTTGAAAGTTTCCTCTATATCTATATTGCTTATCATAGTCTTTTGTGCACTCTCTTAAGCGGTCAACATGAAATAGTAATTAGTTATAGGACAGAAAAATCCATTTCATTGTCAGCTTGAAGCAGTACGATGGAATCACATTGTCTTTGGGTTTGAAATTTTGGGAGTTTTAAGGCTGCAAACACCATCCGTTTGCCCCAATTTGAGTCTGATCCATTAAAGGTAATCCAAATATGATCCGTTTATTATTAGATCAATTAGGGTTCCATCTCAATCTGATCTCATGTACATGATACATAAGATTCCCAGTAAAGTTGGTTCCGATGCTTTATGTTTACCAGAAAGCCATGGGTTCAAGTCTCATAGGATTTATTTTTATATCATTTTGTTCATGATATACGACATCAAAGTCATTTCTAATGAAAATGTATGATATGTTGATCAGTTTTGTTCAATCTATTAGTGGTACACAATATCCAAATCCAACCTTAACCCAACATATAAGATTTGATTGAAATCCAAATATTGATGGATCAAATCCAATCTGGTCCTTTTGCAGCCCTGTGAGAGGTTACATCCCTTATGCTTCTTTTGTTTTGTCATTTACAGTATCAAATCCAATCATTTGCTTAATGGGTTCAGAGTGGTATCATTGTAAGCTACTTGCTACCTCTCCCAAGAACAAGTAAAACCACTTTGTTTTGGGAAAAATGTGAGAATGGTCCTTATGGTGATGCCTGCATTACCGTAATGCTTGGATTTTCACTTCTTACCACAGCTTCCCCTCAGACACTTCTTTGTCTGCTTTATCTTCTTTGAGTTTTCCTTTTTTGGGGGTGGGATGGGGGCTGTGGTGATGAAATGTAAAAAGCCTAGGCAAATATGCACTTGGCCGAGATAAACTTTCCTTTGTCTGCATATGGTAATGTTATAGATAAACTTTTCTTTTGTTTATTCTTCCAACTTTCTTCAAGGAAATACTCCTAGAAGCCCCAAGAAGGGTTTTATATATCAGACAGTCTATGAAGGATGTTGTCCAAAGTTTAGTGGATGAGGCCTTGTTTCAAAAGACAAGACAAAGTTCTGTGAGTATATGCCTTCAGAAAACAGTTGCAATAATAAGATTAGATTTTCTTTCCAAGCAAATGACATTAAATGTGTGCTGGTTGAAACTTGGAATTCCTCCATCTGACTTGGATTTTCTCTCATATTATTGTATGTGGGATATTATTTGTGAATTTTGGTTTACTTGGTAAACTTTTTTTGTTTCTCCTCTTTTTCTATAGCTGTAGGCTGTAGGCTGTAGGCATGTGGCTCAATAAAAGCTTGTACTTGTTCTTATCTCCATCTTTGATTATAAATGAGTTTGCTATTTTACAATTGAGAAATGTATACCGCAAAGGCGCAAACCAAAAACAGAAGTTGAAGGCAGAAACGTTTTGCCAAACTTATCAAGCAAAGGATGGCTTAAATAATGATAGTGAGGAATCCGTATGTGTATAAAGCCCCTTTGTTATCCACCCTGTGAATCAAACTTTCCCTCGTAGGTATAAACTATGTGATCTCGTTTTTTAGGGTAGAAATGAGGAGATATGCAGACAATGATCCAGTTGCCTATGAAGCGTTATATCTAGAATTAACACTCCCAATACTGAGAATTTATCAAGATTTTGTATTCATGCTCTTATTTTGTATTCCTTAGGCAGGAAAATGCGTGCTACTTCTCTCAAGTTTCTCTGTCTCTTATACATAATAATCCTTTTTATTTTTCACATGGGCATAGAATCACAATTTCAGTTGCTCTTTGCTGCAGCCAATGGATGGACAGGTCTTACCTTTGACACATCTCTAATTCACTTTCCTTCTGTTTCATCAGTAAATTGAATGCAAGTTCTTAATGTTTTTCATGGTATCTGATTATTATATGTAAACCATCTTACAGGCAACATCTTAACTAACTCCATGGCAGTGGTTGTTCAAACAATTTTCTTAAAGCCAAATAACAACTTGAGCACATGTACAACGCTACAAGGAGGTATTCTATGATTTCTATCCCCTGATTCGTTTGATATGCACGTTGTCCTTAATAATAAAAATCCCACATACAGGATACAGCTATTTGTATACATTATAAGTTTTGATGTTCCACAAGAAGGTAGGAACCATGATCACACTTAACTATTTTCTGTCTCTTCTCTTCCAATGTTTCCGGCCCATGAGAAAACCTAAGCATTTCTCCTTATATTTCATTCTATCAATTTCCCCTGTATTGAATGCAGCTCCATTTACTAGAATGTATGTTATACAATTTCCATTTCTTTATACTCTAGTCTGATGTTTAAACGTGTATTTCTTTTGAGGGTAATCACCTCAGAGCAAAGCTTTTGTTTGAGTAACTTCATCCCCCACCCCAGTTGGTAAATAGATTACAAAGCAAGAACCATCAAAATATAAAGCCATATTTTAATGGTCTGATAATTTTGAGGTCTTCTGCCAACAAAACACGTCCCAACCCTCTAACACCGCATATCTGAGGGTTGGATTATTGTTCAAAAATCAGCTACTTCCAGTGGAGTAGCACTAGGCTAAAATCGTGAATCACAGCCCTCGATGGATTGATATGGCCCCCCACCTTGGGCCACAGCAATGCATCGAAGGCCGTGATTTCACAGTTTTGGAGTGGAGTAGCTGATTTCTCCTCCAATTATTGCTAGTTGATAACCACATGATACGGGCAGAACCAAAGGATACTGGTTCACGTGATATGCTTATGATAAGCTCAATTACAGCGAGCCTCAGAGAGACAGAGCGTACAGTACAGTGATGACAGAATCAACTACTGAGCCTGAGGTACGACGTAACGTCTCCCTTTCTTTTATATCTTTTATCTTTTGGCAAAACCGTCCTACTCAAAGGAATATGAACGATTTCTCCTCCCATGTGGACGGCGGACTCTAAATAGATCCTGATTTGACTTTGACCACTGTTTCATTCAAGTCGATCATTTAACATGGGCCCAACGTTGCCTCATGATCGTATCCGACGGTGCGCGGCAGACATGCGGAAAGTCCGAAGTAGCAGAGATCCATGCCGCCGTTAACGGCCCCAGCAGAATCCGGTTTTTGAAATTTGAAAAACAAAAAAGGCCGGGAACGGGAAGCCAAGGAATAATAATGAATTGAATATTAAAAGGCAATCATTGAGTTGAGGCCTTTTTGGCACTAATTCGATGGATCATTGAGTAGGGCCCCGAGCAACCAGCACAATAATAGCTGAGAACGTGCAACAGATGTCACCCGTACACGTGTCCCACATCTAGCGGTCCATGTGGGTTTCCTAATGCTTGTAGTCTGACAACAGTTGTCAGCCAGACTGGCTCTGCCTTTTCTTCTTCTGAGATTCTCTTTCTCCCCCCCCAACGCTCCTGAATCCTGAGCCAAACAAGGTAATTGGCTTCTCCGAGCGAAGCCAGACGTCTCAGACCCTGCGTTGTGTTGTGTGTGTGTATATATTGGGGGAGTCTGGAGAGGAAGGCACAACGAGACGAGACACGGGAATCAAGTAGAGAGAATAGTGAAGTATCAAAAAGAGGAGTAGAGGCAGAGCCAGTTTTAATAGGGATTCAAATGGAATTGACGAGAGTTTCTTCTGCAACAATGGCCGTTCTGGCTTTCTTCCTGGTCCTGTTGCTCCCTGCCATCAACGCTCAGGGTCCTGCTCCTGCTCCTACAAGCGATGGTTCGTCTTCTCAACCCAAATCCATTTCTTTTCCAATCCTCTCTTGTTTTATTTTTCTCTGTTTTTTTAATCATGAAGGATAATGAATGATCCTTGGAATGGAGCTTCTTCTCCTGGCTCAGTAGGTGAAATTCTTAAGCTTAAATATGACTAGACTCTGGAGGAGTAAAGAAAGAAAACGATTGAATGAGCTTTTGTTAATAATCAATCATATACTGGGTGTTTTTGCAGGAATTGCCATAGACCAAGGAATAGCATATGTGTTGATGTTAGCTGCTCTGGTGCTCACCTATATCATGCACTGAGACTGAGCTCAATAAAGACGGAAAAGGGATGTAAACAGAACGATCTGGGTTTATTTCTTCTAATGGTTATATGATACATTGCTAATTTCTTGTTTTTATGGATTCTAGTTCTCAATTCTTTTTTCCTTCTTCCCTTTCTTTCCACCCATTTCCCATTTTTTTCTTGTTTCATTTCTTTGTTTTCACCACCTCCATTGTCAATCTGTAACCTTGTTTGAGAATTAATTGGAATTGATTTCTGGCTTGGTTGACGGATCTACCATGATTGTGAAACGAGAGTAATTAACTGGTTGATCCAGATCGTTCAAATTGTCAAAAACATCTGGCGGAAACTCTTCCAACAAAAAATTAAAGTGGTATTTGGTACCTTCCATGCGTTTCGGCCTGAAGCACGTACAATACTTTGTACATTAAATGCAAATTCAAGCATGCAACGCCGGAATGCCAAACATCGGTTCAGACTATTTAAGTTAAATGGATAGTAAAGTAAAATCCTAAGCAAAGGTGAACTAGAATTTACACCTTTTTTTTTTTATTTGTACATCAATGCAATTGTATTAGTGCAAATAAAATTGTAATGAAAACAAACAAAGCCTTAGGAAATATTAACAATTTCAACTGTTAATATAATAATATTCATCCTAACAAATATGACAAAATCCAACTGTAAATATCAAACCGAAAGAAATATGTAGTATATCAACCATTATAAACGTACAATACACAATTTTTTTTATCCGTGTGTGGATATTTTAAACCTGGATGGAAAATCACTATTTGGGTTGGAATTGAAAGGTTAATCCTAAGCTGAGTCAACAATTCTAGATCGAGGAATTGGCCCCTCAAGTCAATGATGGAAGAGGAAGTTCTGGTATCCTGTCTCACAAGCGCTCGAAATATAACTCATCCCTAATATTTAATAGTCATACTATTTATATAAAGAACTGCCACTTGGTTTTTTTTTTTTTTTTCGGGGGGGTTAGAAAGGATTTTAACAAAGAAAACAAACAAACAAATACAGAGAAAACAAGACAAAGACTAACAAAGCAAAGAAAACAACTACCAAAAACAAAGAAAGCATCAACCTAATAAACAAACTACTCAAGCCATTAGGAAGACAGAAAACTAAGCCATCCCCACACACCACAGTGCCAAGATGGGAGATCGACAAGGTGGATTCAATACCCAATAAGCATTTGGAAGGCAGCAAATGAGCAACTGAGTTTGCCTCCCTGCCAACATAAACTGGAACTTGCCATTGGAATTCATTAAACAATAAAATATAATCCAAAAGCAGCCAGACATCTGTAGAACAACCAAAAGATATCGTAACTAAAGGTTTTACTACTGACTACTGAGAGGGGGAGTCACATTCTATTATCAGCCTACTTGGGTCTCAGTCTTTGAGATTAATCGAACCCTCCCCCAAAAAGTAAAGGATGCGTTTGCAATTATTACTTAGAAGGTCTGGTCCAAATTTTATTTGGAATTGCCTAGGCCTAGCTGTCTGTCTACTTCTTTAGTGTCTACTATTACCCCTTCAAATGTAAGAGTGGTCTGGTGCCACTTTCCATGTGTACTAATTGAAAGGATGAAAGATCCATCATATGGATAGCTGAACCTTGTAGGTAGGTTGTGCGAAATTTCAAAAATTTATCTCTCTCTCTCATGTGGGAATAACATTCCCTGTTTTAAAAAACTGCATTTTCAGGGATCAATCTTGAATCCTAAACCAGACCAGATCTGAAACCAAAAGGTAGGAGAGGGAAATACCTAATACAAAGTAGTAGTAACTCCCAATGAAAGTGTTCACGCCCAAGGAGATCACCAAAGACTACTCCCACTGAAGATGACACAGTGTAGGGTGGAGCAGAATCAGCAGGGTGGTTCTTTTGCAAGAACTTGATTCTTTCACTAAGAATCTGATGGAGGGCGAGTGAGCACGACTTCAGATTAGTTTTTCTCCAAAAACCGATATCAATAACCTTTCTTGATCGCTCCTACAGGTAGAGATCGAACTGGCAATGGCGGCAGTAACAGGAGAAGGCAAGAGCAGAAGATGGCGTCAGTCCAACTGCAGTTGTCTTCTCTCTTGTATCAGTAATCTGATTGGTGAACTGGGGTTCGCCCTTCTCCTCTATTTATAACCTTAAAGAAATGTTCTCCTAATCCCATTAGAAGTTTTCTAATCCAAATCTTGTATTTGGATCTGGACTCTCTTTAAGAGATAAGGATAATCCCTTATCTTATCTACAGATAAAGATCAGTCCTCCTAATCTGATTAGGAGTTTCCTGATCCAAATCTCTATTTGGATCTGGACTCTCTGAGTGGATAGGGACAATCCCTTATCCTATCTGGTGATCTAAATCCCAGAACCACCCCTCTTTAATTAATCACATTAAACTAGTTCGAATTGGGCTTTAGGCCCATTAAGTCCATGTGCTCTCTTATCCTCCAAATTACTGCCCATTTGGGTATCCTTGTATGGCGTGGGACCCAAACATTGATCTATACATCAATCACATGAGTTCAGCCCAGCCTCTGTTACAAGGCTTGGCCGAATTCACTGTAGGAAATAGTGAACCCCTAAGTCCATCACCATGGGCTCTTAATGGGCCTAACATTTACACTAAATGGTCCCTAGGTCAAGCCACCTTATAAAAACCCAAGGACTGTGGGCAGATGCAAGATTAGCCCATCAAGTATTACCCTCAATGGTCTTACACTTAACCTCTCAGCCCATAATGATCAAACACTGCCCGACAAGAAAGGACCTCTCCCTCGGCTGCAAAGAATAGTGTTGCACTCTCTACTCACATGGATCTTGGGAATTAAAACATTTT